CATCATTTGCCCCATCCCCAATTGCAAGGGTCACAGCCTTCTTGTATTTTTTGACCAGGTCAACCACCAAGGCCTTTTGTAAGGGTGTCACTCTACAGCAAATCACTGCTTTACCTGTCAAGAAAGTGTAATACATCTTTCATTCAATGATTGCAGGAATAAACATTTCATGAATTGCTGAACTAGCATACTAAACTCCTTAGGCTTGTATATAAGCTCTTAACACAAAAGAACAATTTAGTTCATTAGATCATTATACATGGGGAAAAAGCTGAAGATCTGTAAATGCATCAGATTTACTGGGACAAACCATTTTTATCATGAACCTCTTGGTGATTTTATTTGCTGATTGCGTCTGATTGGTTTTTTTTCTTATAAAGAACCTTTTAGAGATTAAGAGTCATAATCAAACATCTGAGCAGAGAGGATGCTTTTGATTTTTTTCCTTCTTACAGCTATAAAATATAAATTCTAATCTTGAAATGAAACTGTTAAGCAGCTGCATTACTGAATTGGGGGTTTGGATGTGGAAATCTTGATTGAACCTTGTAAATGCTGAAAAGCGGCAAATAAAGTGTTCTGTTCATTCATTTATACTGACTTTGCACTCTGATTTTCTACAAATCTGAAAGTTGATTTCATTGAGCATTTAAATCTGTGGTATGCACTTAACTTGATCCAAGAGATATGTATCAAAGATAAATTCACACTTACATCTGGTTGCAACATCCAGAAAGAGTCTCTCCATTCTGGCATTGAGAGCATGTACTAAAGAGTGACCATTGATTATGAGAGCAAAAGCAGATGATGGGCCAGGTTCATTGTCTTCTGGCACCAGGATGTCATCATCAAAAGTGAATGATTTGTTTCTTATTCCCTGCAACTGGTTTCTGCTTCCTAGGTTCTTGTCATTGTTCTTGTTGAGCAAGCCTTTCACCTGTTTTCCTGCGCCCATTTTCCCTCCGCCATTTTGTGATTGCATGATAACTTCAATGTACTTTCCCAACTGGGCTTCCACATCTTTGTAGCTTGAAGCATCTACTATGAATTCATCATGCATTTCATCCGTGAGGAGCTCACAAGAATAGCCAATGTTGATGGCAGTCTCTGTTGGTGCAAGAGAAAAATCATTCATATAATTTATTCAGCTCTTTTTCTCTAATGGAATAATTCAACATTTTCTGGAACTTCTATACTCTATGATCTTCAGGTTGTCTGGATATTGGTTAGAAAGCGCAAGGAATTCCCTTGCGTTAATTCTACATCATT